AATCTATCTGATGATTAGCTATCAGCCTCCTGTATTTCTTATGTGGTAGCTATTATTGGTAAGTACAAAGTAAAATATTCCATATCTACAGGGTGTCCCATTTTAAAGGAACCACCCCGAAATTTTCTACGGTTGGCGTTCTACAAAAAAAATTGTTCCTATAATTTTGATCCCGAATTCGGAAAGAGCGAGAAATTGGATTACTTTGGGTTATTAAAATTAATCTTACCCTTGTCCGATCATCCTTGTGCATAGATAAAGAAAATAATAAATTTGACCACTACATGACCTTACGCCGGGGGGGGGGGGGTAACAGTACCCCACACATAATACTTTATCTGAACGTAGAATTTCTCGCTCTTTCCGAATCCGGGATCAAAATTATAAGTTCCTATTCAATAATTGAATTTGACCTTCAAATGACCTTGAAAATAAATCTCAAGGTCAAATCCGATTTCTGGGAAAGGTCCCTCATTGTCTCTAACAACTTTTGTCTGAACAAATTTTTCGTAGAACACCAACCGTAGAAAATTTCGGGGTGGTTCTTTTAAAATGGGACACCCTGTATTGTATTGTTTGTCGGTTAAAGAGTGGTAATAATCTGATTAAATTGTTCTAGAAATTTCATTGCCGCTTCTATTCCAAATAAATAAAGGGAAATAATAAATTTACAGGAAAATAGTTTCTCCGGATTTAGCTGAACGGTTAGTATTATATACTTATAACAAGTACTACATTTCATATTACGAGGGGGGGGGGGGTCAATAAGTCTTTACAAAATCCAAGAGATGGCGCTCGTCACGCTTAAATGATAATGTTTTTGGCAAGCAATATTACTAGCTAGATATCGTACAAAGTTTCAGCTCGATTCATTTAGTCGTTTTTTTGTGAGCGTTGGTTGAACAAAAAGTTATTGGTTTATTTGAAAAATGGAAAAAACAGAGTTTCGAACGGTGATAGAACATTTTCATTTGAAAGGCCTTACACCAAAAGAAATCACAGTTGAGTTGAATGCCGTTCATTGCAAGTCTGCCCCTGTGTTTAAGACTGTTTATAACTGGGTAAATGAATTTAAACGCGGCCGTACAACAACAAAAGATGAACCTTGTTCAGGACGCCCCGTAAAAGTGAGTACGCCCGAAATAGTCAACAAAATCCACAATATGATGTTAAGTGATAGAAGATTAAAATTGCGAAAATTAATTGAGGCCACAGGGGTATCAAAGGATACAATCATTTCAATTTTGCATGAAAAATTGGGGATGAAAAAAATATCAGCAAGATGGATGCCGCGTTTGCTCACTGTTGAAAACAAACGAACCCGCGTGGTTACCTCTGAGGCTCTTTTGGCACGCATACGTCGTAATCCGGAAGACTTTTGGCGTCGACTCGTAACTGTAGACGAAACATGGGTACACCACTACACTCCTGAAACCAAAGAACAGTCCAAACAATGGATTACCACAGGAGAACCACCCCCAAAGAAGGCAAAAACAGTAAAGTCAGCTGGCAAGATTATGGCCACGGTTTTCTGGTATGAGTTTGGAATCATCTACATCGACTACTTGGAAAAGGGCTATATGATCACTGGACAATATTATGCGTCATTATTAGGTTAGCTGAAAGAAAAAATCAAAGAAAAACGTCCTCACTTGAACAAAAAAAAATGCCTCTTTCTTCAAGACAATGTTCGAGTTCACACGTGTGCAGTTTCGATGGCAAAAATTAACGATTTAAAGTTCGAATTAATTGACCATCTACCATATTCGCCTGATTAGGCTCCCAATGACTTTTTCTTATTTCCTAACCTCAAAAAATGGCTTGCCGGACAACGATTCACGTCGAATGAAGAAGTCTTCGCCGAAACAAATGCCTATTTTGAGGGTTTTCAGAAATCATATTTTTCAGATGGCTTAAAAAAACTGGAAGGCCGTTTAATAAAATGTATCGACCTTCAAGGAGATTATGATGAAAAATTAAAAAAAATTATTTACGCAAAACTTTTTTTTCCTTCTTTTTTTAGAAGGACCTCCCCTCGTACGTACGTTTTCAAATCTTGATAATTCTAATTCTATTTCTATTATAATTTCAAATATTGATTTTCAAAGAGGTAATTAATAATTTTAAAAAAATGTATTCATTGCAGTTATTTTAATTTACCCTCCACTGTAAGAGAGAAAGACTTGTGAAGCTGATGCCCAAAAAATTTTTTTAAACATATTTTTGAGTTTTCATGACCTAAAACGTTTTCTCCCTTTTCCGGATTAAGTCTCCGCTTGAAATTTTATTTCCAGATTTTCCATTTTTAAGAAAATTGCGAAAAAAATCGGGCGTTCAGACTGCGCGCAATATGCATTGAACATTTTTCTCCTGTTTAAAAAGAAATAATATCGATAGCGGATTATAGCTCCTTATTCCCGGATTACGAAACAATTTTCCTTTTGTCGATTTTCTATCCAAAATTGAGGAAAATGTAAAGATTAGTAATATGCGGCAGTTAGTCGATAAAACAGGTCAAACATTTGCTAATCACCAGATATCCCTATGCGAGATCTACAGTGCGTACAGTCACTGTATTATACAAAAGAAGAAACCGATGAATGAACATTTACTATTATTTATAATAAAATTGTGGTAGTTATATTTTTACACCATTTTTCTGAATTAACCATTTATGACGTAACAATAAATTATTGTACATTATTTATACAGTCGTGTTTAATGACAAATATTTCAAGTCATTGATTAACCACTGGCATATATATAGCTAAAACGAAAATGCTTGCAACAAACTCAAATACTTAATTTCTTATTATTTGCTATTCTACTGTGTAATTATTTATTACTTAAAATAATTTAAACGTACGAATAGTTTTAATGCCACACCTAACAAACTTGAACTGAACTTAAAAATTGAATTCGCATGAAATAAAAATTACGTTTTCTTTTTAAAATCAGATATTTTTACGTGATCTACATATTGAATGATACTTCGTTTTTATAAAATCAAATTGTATAGATTCATGGTAGTTTTAAAAATAACGTTATGGCTGTTATTAGAATTATTACCTGACACAAATGTTACAATTGCTTTGATATTAGAAAAATGTTTGTGTAATTTGAAATCAACAAAAGTTTTAACAAAATCATGTACTATTTATGTAAATAGACTTTTTCAACGTGTTAAAACAGAGAAAGTAAACATTTAATAAATTTGTATCGAAAAATAATTTTAAATCATGTACTATTATTGCCAAGATTTTAACTGTTGATCATAGTTTCAGTTCAAAAAGTAACTGTGATTTAATCATCAAAATAGTCTATTAAATGTATAAACAATTTGTAAGACCGGGCAAGTAAATATTTTGACAAAATAGATATTTACTTAATCGTTTATATGTTACAATCACCCACTATTTATACGCAGAGACACGCTAATAAACCAATCATTAGCATTTTGAGAGTGTACTATTCAACTCAACATCTTTATTTTGACAGATCAGATATGTTAATGTCGTAAAAATACAAAATATTAGTGTTTTGTACTATAACAAAACACTGCGGAGCCGGTACACGGCATCCTTATGAGAGAAGCTACTGATCTTTTTCGCCTTAATCGAATCTCCTTTATCTTAATTTGCCGCTTTGATTGCTTTTTTATTCCAAAATCCAAAAGATCGTCGTCGCGCAGTGTATTCGTCTACCTTCATAGTCCTCATATTCAGTAAGATACTTACCAGGATGCCGTGTACCGGCTCCGCATATAATACGTGTTTTGTTATAGTGCAAAACACTAATATTATATGCTATAGGCCGGGTACACGGCATCCTTATGAGAGACGTGTCTGTTATCTACTGGATATAAAATCAATGCTATGTGATAAATAAAATAAAATATTATATAATGAAAATCAAAATGTTAGAAGAAAATAATTTCTTTTTATTAACAAACAAACAAAATATTGGTTGATTAAATTTCAATAACTAAATGCATTCAAAGTTCTTTTATAATAAACTTGAAGAATTGCTATTTTCACACTGAACTTCTTTGCAATAATGATTACGGAAAGTTTCTACACACCGCCAATTACCATGATCTAAAATATCTTGAATAGGCAGATTGTCTAACCAGGCGCGAGAAGCTACTGCTGAACGAACACTACCAGGTGAATCGTCTATACCAGCATTTTTGAGTACAGAACGAATCCAATTCGCTATTATAGTACTTGAAGCAGCTTTCTTTTTACCTGTTATTGAGACAAAAAGAGGTTCTCCGTCTACTTCTCTTCTTCTTTCTCTTGAGAAATTCAAATATTTATTTATCAACGAAACAGGGCATAACCACTCATTGGAATGTTTAAGTAATTTCCAGCCCGACTATCGGAAAGAAGCACGATCTGTTTTTGAACCAAAACTCTGCCACAAAACGATCTCATCGTTGCTGTTTTGAAAATGTCCATCTGAGATCTTTAAAAGTGTTAAATCGTGTACTCTTCTTCCAGACGCTAATAGTAGTAAAGCTGCAGTTCTTCGTGAAATCTCGAACAAAGTTTGCTTTATTGGAGCTATAGCTAGCCAATTCATCAAGATTTGGGTATCCCATATAACCTTTTTATTTTCTACTGGTTTAGCTATAGAGATGGCTTTTAATATTTGGCGAACTAAAAACTCCGAAGCAAGATTAATAGATGTTCCTCCTGAACAAAAAGTTGAAATGGCTGATTTGTGCAATAAAATAGTATTATAAGCTAACTTGTTAACAAGAAATAAGCCAGCTAAAAATCTTGCTAAATCACTACCTGAAGGAGCACCAGGGTTTACGTGGTTTAGCGAACACCAATCTATCCATCTCTTTAATGGAGCTTTATATGTGTTCAATGTTGAATCACGCCAACTTTGTTTTAGCAAATTTAACTCCTCTGAAGACCAATTACCTGTCAAGTTGCTCCACACCCAACCATCCACGCTTGCAGAGTAAGCTGATCCACTTCGCTGGGTGGTTATCCCGTTGACAGATCGATCAAGACTTTGTTCAAGTCTGTTATTTCCATTGGTGGTTCTTTGCTCCGGTTCATTAGATTCGACATCCAAAACGTTTGGTTCCACATGGGTGCAATTATCACGTAGTTGCCTTGGCATTTGTTGAGATGTGCCAAAACTCTCGGAATCAAGCTCGGGGGAGGAAAGACCCATACCAGTTTGAATTTCCATGTCTTGCTGAATGCGTCGATAAAAAGTGCTCGATGATCCTTGGGATTCAAAGACACATAACGGTCCACTACCATAGATCTCTTCGAAGCGAACAGATCTATCTCCGGAGTACCCCACTTTTTGAAAATCTTGTTCCTCGTCTCTATCAATAGATGCCATTCGGGTATTGGTTTCTTTCTGGAGAGACGGTCTGCTATACCATTGTATCTTCCTGGGAGATAAGCAGCTGTTAAAGTTACATTCATCGAGTCGTCTAGTTGTAACACATGAAACGTCAAATCGAGAAGCTCTATCGAACGAGTCCCGCCCTCTTTGTTGATATAAGCGACCAGGGTACGATTGTCCGATTGAACGAGAATATGTGCATTTCGAAGTTCTTGGGGAAACTCTTGTAATGACGCGTAGACTGCGTACAGTTCCTTTTTGTTGGAGTGCCATGATCTCTGGCGTGCTGTCCACGACCCTGATGTGTGAATATTGTTTACTTGAGCTCCCCAGCCAGCGTCCGCAGCATCCGTAGTCAGATAATGGGTGACTGGGCGCTTATGTAGTGGAGTAGTGGTTGAAAGAGCTTCCTTCCACCAAACCAATTCGTCCATTACTCGATGTTGGACACTGCGCCTTTCTCGCTGTCTGCCCTGTCGGAATTCTCTCTGAAACAACTGGAGATAACGGCAGTGCAGCCGACCCCGATGAATGGCAAAGCAAGCGAAGTTCAGCGATCCCAGTACGCTCTGAAGTTGTTGGAAAGTACAACTCTTGTCCTTTATGACTCTGTCTAGAGTCTCTGAGATGGAAATTACCTTGTCGTTTGGTAGACGTACAAGATTGAGGTGAGTATTCCACACAAGGTCTAGAAATTCGATCTCCTGGCAAGGCTCCAAAATGCATTTCTGTGCTTTGATTTGCCAGCCCAAGGATCTCAGAAAATTTAGTTCCTCGGGAATTTGAGATGTTAATTTGGCTCGGTCTTGCGAGGCCAAAAGAAAGTCGTCCAGATAAACAATCACCCTTACACTTTTCGACCGAAGGATCTCTGCAATCCAATTCATTATCATCGCAAAGATGTAAGGTCAGATGAGAGGGCGAAGGGCAAGCTCGTCATCTGAAGCAATTCCTCCTTGTAAATCAGACGAAGGAGATTGCGGTGAGATGCGGCTATTGGGATGTGAAAATAAGCTTGGCTGAAATCGATTTTTACTATCCAGTCCTCGTCTTGTAAAAAATTCGGAATTTGAAAGTGAGAGATGAGACTGAACTTCTTTACTTGAACATGATTGTTCAGGCCTCTTAAATCGAAAATAGGACGGTTTTCGCCTGAAGATTTCCTTATCAGAAACATTTTGGAAATAAAACTGTGTTCGTCCGATGATGGTTTCTCCAGAATTTTTTGTTGTTTTAATTGGATTTGTTCGGTCATTGCAAATGATTCCTCAGTTTTGAAATTTGACACTCTTCAATTTCGAATTAGCGGAGGTTTCGATACAAGAGGTATTCGAGTTCCAGCTATAATCTTGAGAATGTGTTGCGGGGCTCCGACATCTTTCCATTGATCTTGAAAGTGAAAGAGGCGGCCTCCTGAAAAATCTTTCTTCATTAGATAGTCATTTATTGTTATTTTTCTTACGAAAGAAATCCTCCCCAAATTTGGGTTTAGATTGTTCCTTCTTTGGCTGACTCTTGTTGTTTTTATAATTATTATTCGAACGTTGACCTTGATTCTCCTTAGGTACGAACTGTTTACGAGAATTTTGATGAAAGCGATTGGAACCTCTTGAAGATGATTGGTCCGACTTTTGAGAGTTCCTCTTGGTAACATAAGAAGGTGTATTTAACCACACCTGAGCTCCGCCTAAAGATTGTATCAAAGTAGATAAACGCTCCTTTGCGAAAAGATAATCCAAACTCGGAGGTAGTTTGCGTAAAGCCATCTGAAGATTCTTATTTGGAAGATCGGCAATTAAACGCTCTCTTCTGGTCTCAATACATTCAGCTCTCTTTCCGCAGATGATCTGTAACATTTGCTCATAATTTTTCATAATAGGAGAAGTCATGCCAAAAATTGAATTAAACTGGTCAAACAAAGTTTGAACATTTAATTGGGATGGATTCACAGAAGCCCAATCAACAATGTTTTAAAGACAAGATTTCAAAAGGTCTCTATTTTCTAAAACAGCATTTGATAAGCCAGCTAAAGCTCATTCTGTGGGAGCAATAGGATCTCTACCCTTCTCTAAATAACAAAGCTCCTCGTTAATTTTCAAATCAACAAAACCAGGGCTGGCTAGAAAGCCTCTTAAAGCAGGAGAGTATCTAACCTCCTTCCAATCATTTGAACCAAAGCGTTGTAAATTGACAATTGCGTCCAAACGAGCTTGCAGAGCAGGCGGAATAGTGCGTTTCTCATCAATAGACGTACGCAGGTCGCCGAAAGATAATGTTCTCACCTCAATTGGTCTAGCCAGAAAAGGAGCAGGTGTACCAGTGCAAGAAAAATTGTTTACACCCGAACCAGAAGGCATGTTGACGGAGAGAGGAGCAGGATTTGCGAAAATGATGCGAGACAAACAATTTAATTGTTGCTGCATTTGACGAAACTCCTCATTTTCCATTCGACGCTTCTTAGGTCGCGGTGGTCCAGCGGGCAAGCTGAAATCATCCTCTGATTTCGATGTCTCCGGCCCATCTGACGATTCTTCGCTGGAATCGTTCTATTCTTGGTTCTCCTCGATCTGGTTTTGCACTCCCTCACCTTGTTGAAGATTGTTAGATGATTCTTGCGACATTTTTCACATTTATGTGAATAAATTAAGTAATAACGCCTCTTTATAAAGGACAAACTTTTTGACGTGTTTACACGGCGAAAAAATTCAATGCTATGAAGGTAGACGCATACGCTGCGCGACGACGATCTTCTGGATTTTGGAATAAAAGAGCAATCAAAGCGGCAAATTAAGATAAAGGAGATTCGATTAAGGCGGAAAAGATCAGTAGCTTCTCTCATAAGGATGCCGTGTACCCGACCTATAGCATATAATAAATTATTTGTAGCTGAAGCAATTTTCCGCAGCTCTTACAGCCTAGATTCAATTCCAAGTTTAAATAGAATTAAATCTAGGAAGAATCGAATACTTATTTAGGAATCGAGTATAATTGCTGATCCCTATTTCAGTTCGTGCACATGTAGACGAAATTAATTGAGATTATTTACTTGCAGCAATCCTTATAGTATATTTGGGAATATTATATTTGGGAATTAGGAAATATTTTTATTTTTTAATATACTATATACTTGATTAATTAATTAAAGTACTTATTATTTTTCACATGGCCATGTGCAATATTTATTTTTATTTTATGAATTAATGTCAAATAATTAATTAATTTTTACACTTTCGTGCACCTCGGAGGTCCGAAATCCGATGGCTCTTATGTAGAAGAAAGTCCCTAAATATTTTCATAAAATAAATTTTAGTATACAAGAAAATTATTAGGAAATAATCATTTTCGAAAAATTAAATAGATTTTCACAACTTAAAGCAACATTATACGTTCTAAGTAAATAAATTGGTTAGAGATCAATACATAACACTCTCATTATTTTGTCTTCCCTTTGTTCGACATCGGTGTTGTTGTTTACGTTTGATTCGAACGCGCCGGTAGTACAGCACGAATCACGAAAGCAACAGGAGAAGCTGCCCGTCAACCGAGTTGTCAGCAGTGAGCCGACGGAGCGCTGGTGAGCTAGCGCAGCAGCGCCCCTTGCGGAGAGATCGCGAACCCAGGTTAGATCGGTAAGAGAACTCGGCGCAGGCGCACACCGGGACAAGGTGAGCAAGTGTGCTAGAAGCACACAGTTAACAGTGTACCGTCTGGCTGTATTAAGGATTATTATTACCCGGGATTTGCGGCCAGGAGGCAGCCTGTTACACTATTTATATTTATATACAAAGTTATCCTTGAATTTATGTACATTTATTTATATGTATCGGTAATTCAACTTCCTATCATGCCAATTATCAACCTTCCCGGAAAGATTTGTAAATCTATCTAGCGAGATGGATTAGGCTAAGCACATTCTCCATATCAATTCAGCGAGTATTACGCACCGTATATTAATTTGTCAAAAAGAAAGGTAAGGGGCACGTCAGCCTGTGGTATAAAAAGGCTGGATCAGGATCCGCAAGGCAGGCAGTAGTAGTTCAGTAATTCAGTAGTGTAGTGCTATTTTGTATTATTTCTAAGCTTCGCTACCCGGATACTCAGAACGGAAATTGTATTCTGTTAAGCATTATAAACTTGTCTTTTCAAACAATAAAATTTAATTAAGTGCAAACACCTGAGACTCTTTCATAAATCTCCTTTGAAAGGGCCTGCAATGGCTCGGTCGGTAGGGCGACGGACTCGCACCGGGTAGGCCCGGGTTCGATTTCCAGTCCCTGCTGATTGATACAAGCACCATTGAAAAAAGTTTCATGTGCTTTGTTCTCAAACACATTGCAAGCTTGGTCCACGCAAGGTAAGAAACTTAGTTATCTACCTACATGCTCAAACCGAAAAAGCGTTTAACCAACCTTTAACCAACCACTGCTTACCTCCTGACTAAGATCCAACCTTTACCTACGCCACAGTATTTTAAACATCATCACGTCAAGCCATAACATCATCTTGTCTAGACATAACAATTGGGGGCCCCTTATTCTTGGTAATTAGGATCTTATCGTAGAATAAAAATAATAATGGTCGAAACACCCTACGAGCGAAAACTAATTACACTCTAAATACTAATTAAAAAAATTAGCGAAAAGGAATTGTTTTACAAAAAACGTTATAACGTTTTATCGGCTCGATAAAAATGGATCCGGATGCGCTCATTTTAAAGATAACAGAAATATACAACTTTTACACTTTCGATTTCTTAAATCTGCTGGGCCGTTAAAAAGTTATAACCGAGTTAATGTAAAAAAAAATTTTTTTAAAGTAATTTGGTTTTTTAACTTAATAAATACAATTTTTAATTTAATAAAAAAAATAACGGCGGGATATGAAGGGTATTGTTTTACTCTACAAAATGAGCCTGCGCGCGTTCTTTTATGACTATTTTAGACGGAGCTGCAAAACTTTGAATTTTAAATGATTTTTTTTGGCCAGAAACTTATGCACAACACTGTATATCCGTGTATCGAGGCATTCATTAGATTCTGCATCTTGCAGGACTTCCTCTAATTTTTTAAATTTGCTTTTAGAAAATTTATCTTCATTATTTGGGAAATTATTCAAATCTTATTCCTCATCATTACTACTATCATTACAGCCATCAGTTAAGTGAAATCAGATCGAAGCCCTATAATAAACAGAAAAATGCTAATGCCCCATACAAATGTTAATATTACTAATAAAAATATCATTGTTATTTGCTTTAGATTTTTGACTTATGTATACACCAAATACGTCAGACAATAATACTTCATGAATAAAGATTATTTATCTAAATGGCTTTTGCGTAGGAAGCAAGAACAACCCAAGCCTAAGCGAGTAAAATAGCCAGAATGAAAATGTTTATGAATATCCACATGTATTTCCATGAATATTATGTTCATCAGGTTAAATAACTGCTGGATTTTTATATCAAAATTTATATGGTGTTGTGTATATTATATAAGCTATTATATTGAAAAGATCTAGCTGGAAATACAGGTTGTATTTCTACATGGATTTCCAGCTATCTACAAATTCATCTATTGAAGTAAAGACTTAGCTTTAGAACCTCTAATTTTAAATACGAAAAACACGTTATTATCAATTTCAATCTTTGCTATTTCCAAAAAGCAAATTTTCAATAATTCGTGATATAGTTAGTTAAATTTGCGAGTTTGAATAGCTATTTTTCCAATTTGCTTTTTACCAAGCCGATTACTATGGCCAACACAAATGGAATTTTTAAATTGAGAACCGCGGTATTGCGATGTTAATATCACCTATTATTTATAATTTTGTTTGTACTCTCGTGGTCTGTTGCGTTAATGAGTAAGAATTCGTTTTAACTTTGCAA